TTATAACAAAATCATAAGTGCTTAATCAACAAAATATTTATTGTAACAAAATTATTAAAGTTAGTACAATCATTACAAAATAGTGAAACATTTAAATATTACACATTTTAGTGTGATATTTGTTTCTGCTTGTTTGAAATAAGTTTATGGATTTTTGTCTCCAATGATGTTACTGCAAGACAGAGAGTTGTTATTTCAAGACGAGACCGGTACAGAGTTTTAATTGCTGTGACAGATGAAAATGTCTTTTCGCACAAATATGTTGTTGAAAATTGAATCAAAATTTTCATTGGTTTTTCACTCAGCAATGGGAATTCACTTTTTACGGAGAGCTAGAAATGAGGTCTTGTGATGGATGACCAGAATTTAGCTTTGAGATAGTCACCGGATGATAGATCAATGAAGCTTTTTTTTTCATGCATACTTAAATTGCTGTCTTCGATTTTTCCTGCATATGGATCTATTATCCACATATTGCCATGTCTGGGATCTTCTTTCTTTGCATAATAACGAACAAAAGATTCTGTGAGTGACTGTAAGTGCTGTTGAACAATGGTTACCACCTGCCAGTTGACATCTTTCTCTCTCATATACTCATCAAAATTTGAAAACATTTGCAGATCTTCTGCCAACCGCATTTGCCACAATAATATTTTCTTTTGAAAAGCATCCATTTTACCTCATAGTATGAACACATCCTGAAATTGTCCTTGCAAAGATAAGTTTAGTTCATTTAACAACGAAAAAATATCTGCAAGGTATGCATCGTTGGTCAAGAGTTCTAGAAATTTTGGATTATTTTGTTGGCAGAAAAATACTTTCACTTCTTCGCGCAGGTTGAACAGTCGGCGTAGTATTTTGCCCCTTGACAGCTATCCCACCTCAATGTGAAGAAGATACTCAGAACTCATTTCTTCATAAAGTGCCTCAAACATTCAAGAATTGAGTGCTTTGTATTGAATTTCATTTACAATTTTAATAACATCTGACAACACTTCATGTAGTTCTGGGGACATTTTTTCGTTGCAAGTTGTTCACGATGTATAATGCAGTGTGTTGACAAAATGTCTGGGTGACCATTTTTTTTCACCTTTGCAACAATTCCTGAACAATGTCCGGTCATGTTTGTTCCTGAACAATGTCCAGTCATCTGTACAAATCCCAGTACATTTTTTCCATTCAATTCCGTGTTCGAGGAAATAACTGTTCAGTGCTTCAAAAATCTCAGAGTTAGTTGTTCTACCTGGCAAGTTGAGCGAGCAAAGTAGTTCTTCCTGTAACTCTCCTTCACACTCAATCCTCACAAAACAAAGGAGAAGTGCCTTGTTACTTACGTCTATTGATTCATCAAGTTGAATTGCATAAAATGGTGCATTTTTCACCATTTTTATAACTTGATTTTCAATATCTCCACCCATGTCTCCAATTCTGCGCTTGATAGTATTAGTGGACATAGGAATTGCTTTCAGTTTCTGGACAGCCTGCTTTCCCAAAACTTCTTCAGAGGCTCGTAACATGCAATTAAATCTTCTCCAATTGTATATGGCTTTTTATTTTGTGCAATCTGAAGTGCTATCAGAAAGAAGCCTTTAATAATAATGCATAATAATAATGCATAATAATAATGCTTTTTCACTCATCATGGAAACCATTTGAATCTAAAACCAAACAAGAAATGATAGTTGTCAAAATCAATTTGTTTGATGCCATTAATATTACAGTCAAAATAAAGTTAAGGTCAAACTTACCTAAAAAGAGCATCCACCTAGCTTGACCCTGGGGTGCTGTGTGTCCAGACCAGGTACTTTCTCTTGGCCTCTGGGCAGGAGGCCCAAGAGAAAGCACCTGCTCCAGGTACACAGCCTTCCAGGAACCTCTTGTGTTCCTTCTCTCAAGAAGCCTGGTCAGTCTGAGTGAAGGAAAATGCAGACAGGCAGACTGATGGTGGTAGGAAAGTCAGTCCCATATTCCAGAGTTGTAGTAGCCACAGCACTGGCTCTTTGGGGCAGCTGCTCCTGGATGACCAAAGGGTCAGTCCTGTGACTACTACAGCTCTGGAATATGGAATTGGCCTGTCTGGGGAGGGAAGGCAGCACTCTGGCTGAATGAGGTGGGGGGCAGGGGGCAAGTGGGAGCTTCCCTAGGGGGACGAGGTTGGGAATTGTGGGGCAGAGTGAAGGGAAAAGAAGGGCCTCTCTCATCCTTTGGGTTTGAGAGGATCCAAAGTCCTGATGTTTTGTCTTTGTTAAGAGTAAAGTGTAACTAGCATTTCCCCCCCGATATTTTCACACTTATGAAAGTTTGTCAGCAAGCAACAAATACCATTTCCAATCCATTTTCATTCAAGTCATAACAGGACAAACATTTGAATGCACAGTACTATCTAACATTTTCCTGATATAGCTCACTCTGCAGCAGTCAAGCCATGCAAATTTCCTCCGTGGATTTAATTCCCCAGCAGCGCTGGATTGCCCCATTTCTCTCCCTCCCTCTCCCTCCCTCCCTCCCTCCCTCCCCTTCCCCTCTCATATACATATACTTTACATATACATATACATAGACATACACATATATATATATATATATACACACACACACACACCATATTTCCTCTTTATTTCCATTTAACCAAATTTTACCTATGAAATTATATTTAATTTCCATTCATCATTTTTTAATCATAGTATAAGAATCTCATTGCAAATACTTTACAATATATCGTTTGTATAATCAATTACATTTTCTATTTCATATTTAATATATGTAAAAATAAAAGGATCTAATAACAATAAAACCATCTTAATTTATCTTACTCTATCATCATTTTTCTCATATATAATTATACAATATTCTTACGGTGAGGTCTTATTCCACTTTAATTCCAATTAAACTTATTTGTTTATTTTTAAAAGAATTACTTTAAAAGTAATTCCCAATAAACTTTAAACTTCAAAACTCCCCATTCTATATTTCTAAAAAATACCAAAATATATTTCCATGTGAAATCCCCCCTTTATTTTATCTTTAACCATCGTCTCTTAATCTCTTGGCCCTATAATTTCTTCTAATTTTAGCCAGTTTTCCCTTTTCTAAGTTTTGCTGGTTTCCTCTTTCTTTAGCTCCTCCACCTTGGACTTTCTTTGATCCTCTTGTGAACTGCATCGCCATTTCTAGTTTTTCTGCCAATATATCCCATAGTTCCATACTTTCTTTTATTATTCCCCTCAAATTTTGCAATTCCAATCTGGATTCTTCACATATTTCATTCATTTTACTTATTCAATTGAGTTACTCTATATTTTAATAAAAGCCAGAGTCTTCTATTTTAATCTTTACCAGAAATATCCATTTCTCTCAATTTCTCTTATTAATCCTTCTGTTTCTTTGTCACAGTCCCAATCCACCAAACAGTCCCAAGATAATATCTTCGCTTGTCCCTTTGCTGTGATCTTTTTTATGTTTCCGGGGTTATTGTTATGTTATAGTCTTTTATTTCATTTCCCATTCACGCATTTACTAGACCAGTAGTTTTCCATAAAATCATAAGAAGAAAATTCCTTTAGCCATTGGCTGGTGCTCTTACATCAGTTTTCACTTTCCACTTTTTAAAGTTCTCTTTTTTCTTCTTTTTGCTCGTATTAATTCCGCTAATTTTCAATCATTAGCTATTATATCTTTTAAATGTAGTCAATTCGAACAAGTCCAGCATTTAGTCAATGCCTAATTAATGCCAATTTCTGTATAATACTCCAAATTTAATTTTCAATTCTGTTGTTTAAAACGTGTTCTCTGTATAATATCACTTCCATTTCAGTCTTTTGTAGTCCAATTGTATTTTCCTTATAATTTTCCTCTTACTTTCCAATCACCGCTTCCACAATCTTTCCTTCTATTTCTCGGGGTTGCCTTGAAAACATCCAAAGTATTTTGCCTGGTCACACACTGCTCACCACTTCACTGCTCCAGCACAAACTTAATTCCTGGATAGCTTCCCGTCTTCAGGGCAGCCGTTAAAGATTGCTGCTATAGCCTATTTCAAGGGGAGTATACTTAGCCAGAGAGGCGAGATGCGGCTCCCTTCAACCCAACTGGCGGTCTTCCCCTCTTTCACCACCCCTCCAGGGTGGATCCCAACAGGTAAAACACAGACCTAAGCTGTGCACGATTGTGATCTCCGATCTGTCTTTGACGGAAATGCCACCAGAAGTCCCCCTGCCTCCCCACTCTGATGGGTTGGGTAGATGTGATGGGTAAGAGATGGTCCCTCAGAATATTCAAAATATTTTCTTTACACTGCCATGAACTGTTCCCAGTTATGACATATAATGAACAAAAAATTTTTGAAGCATTTATTTGCCCAATTTTTCTGCCAAAAGATTCTCAGAGTCACTCTCATTCAATTACAATTAAAGAATGCAATCCCTGTTTTCAGGTATACAATATAAAAGGCATATAAAAGAGGTTGAGAAATGAAGAATAAATAAGTTTAGTCTCCAAATTTTACAGTATCTATTCTTACTACGATGATCAGGAGTAAAAATAGAATGTCATTAATCATTACTTCTCTATCAATAATTTAAATCTTGGAGGCTTTTTGCTGCCATCCTTAAAATTTTAAAAAGCAGGTGGCCATGATGTTATTGAATGATCTACAACTTATAAAAATGCTGTATAACTGCTCCTGAAAGTCAAATGTTTTCCACAGGTAGTTACATTTTCAAAAAAAAAAAAAAAACTAGTCCAAAATTAACAATTATAGTTCCAGAAGGAATAGCTTTAATATAATGTGCTGCTCTTTCTTACCTTAGAAATACTGCTATATTCTAATTCTAAACAATCTTATTGCAACATTTAAAATCAAGGTACACTTGATTTGCTATGCACTGAAATTCTGCTAAATTCAGTAAAAATAACCACTTTAGTTCATGGATTTAGTTCTGTTAATCTACAAAATGATCTTTTATTTGTCTTTCCATCCAGGGTATGCTACAGGAGAAATATAAAAAGAATAGTTTCAGAGTTATATATTCGAGATAATTGTCACCCTTTCAAGACAACCCTGATCATATGGGTACAGATTCCAGTATGGGTCTTTATTTCCATAGCTTTGCGTAATTTAAGCATTGGCAGAGGAGATTCTGAAGGTAATAGTTTTGTAGTATTGCTTTAAATTGTGTTTTCTAAAATTCTTTTCTCAGTGATTTACTTTCTTAAAAGAAACATTTCTTTTTCAGACTTAAGATTTTTTTTAGCTTTGCCAGTAACTAATTTTTATTCTGGAGTTGATTATTGCAAGTGAGTATAATTAATCTTGTACACTGATTCCCAATGACTGGTTAGTTCACAATAGCCAGACAAAGGCATAATAAAATGGCAAGTATGACAGATGGAATAAAGCAAAGAATCTCACTCTTCTTCACTCTCACCAAAGGTTGGTGGAAAGCCAGATTTTCACCAGCCTTCTGAACAGCAGAGAGGGGCCATCTAAATCTTTCCAGACTACAGGCACTAACATCTGTTCTTTATGCAGGAGCTGGGAGTTCAGGCAGACTTCTAGGTCATACAGTGCATGAGGAAAGAAGTATAAATGATATCCAACATAATTATTCAACTTAGTGCATTATAGTAGAGCAATAAGATTTAATTAGCAGAAGCTATTCATTTAATATTATTGACAGTTTTTTTTAATCTGGTGCAGCAGTTTGGTGTAGTTGTTAAAGCCTAAGGCTAAAATCTGGGGGACTGAGTTCTAATCTCATTATGGTTTTAAAGCTAGCATGGTGAGCTTGAACCAGTCACTTTCCTTCTGTCCTGGAAGCAGGCAATGGCAAACCACTTCTGAAATCTTTTAAGAAAACTGCAGGAACTTGTCAGGCAGATATCAGGATCAACACTGATTCAGAAACACTGCCTATATAGACATGAAAACTGATTGAGTGACTCTCAGCTCAAACCACCTTAAAGTTGTAAGGAAATAGGCAGGAGTATTACTCTGCATGTGTGAGAGGGAGTGACGCAGGCAAACAGGTCCGGTAATAATAAAGGTCTGTGTCAGATTACCTATTTACCTTTGAAGCTGCTGAATAATATTTAAAATGCATAATGTGTAAGTATAATTATCAGTGAAATTATGTAATTTAAAAATCTGAGTTTAAGAGAAAAATTGCAATGATTTCTCAACTATTACTTCAGTCTAGCTAAATCAAGCTCTAGTTTTATAGATCTAATTTAGTAGGAGAAAGCCAACATTCAGAAATTGCTGTTGCTAGTCCTTTTTACAAAATATGCTAGCATAAATTCAGTATCTATTCAATACTAGTGAAGTCCTAAGTATTTGCCACATTTATAATAAAAAATAATATGCCAATTATGTGTGTGTTTTCAGCAGGGCTTTTAATTCAACAGCAGTTTTCCACAGGAGGCATACTCTGGTTTAAGGATCTCACTTTACCTGACTCAACGTGGATTTTGCCAATCACTCTTGGACTTCTCAATCTACTGATAGTAGAGGTATTAGGCGTATTATAAAATCATTGGGTGGATTAGAACTGTAATATGCCAAATAGCATAACAGCTTGTAATTTATTTATTCTGTCTATATAATTCTAATTAATAGAATTAAAATTCCCCAGAGTTTTCAAAACACTAAACGAATATTGAGAAGCAAGCACAGTGTCCACAGTTAGTAGATATAGAATTGGAAACACCCAATTATTAAACAAGTTACAAAGTACAGAGAGGATAACACTAAATAAAGTTAGGGCTGATATTTGCACTGCTATCTTTCAGACCTTGGTGAAATGTCAAGATGCTATCCCAGGAACACTTTTATATTTAATTTTCATTTGGAAATTGTATGCCTTCGCTTGATTTCAATAATTCCTGACAATATGAATGTAAGTGCAGTTATTGGTACTGCTGCTGACTATATTGCAGATTTAAGATTCAGATAGCACCTTAGGCATAGATATAATTTATTAAATTTGTATGCTGCATGACTAAATACTACCGGTACAAGAAGGAGTGTTTTTTTTTTAATAAAGAGACCGATAGCTAACTATAGTAGATTTTTCTTTTATGTTTGTCTTTTAGATATATGATGCTACCATGTTAGGAATAGAAGTATCAACTTTATTTTAAAAAATCGATTCTCATTAACCAATAGGTTTTTTCCATGGACAATAGTAGAGTGTCTGATAATACAGTTAATGAAACTTCTTCCTTTCCTTTGAAAGGAAAGCCGATTTCTGTCTTTATAGAAGATGAAGTTACTTCAAAAACTTTAGGCAATACCTATACTTACTGACATAATCTCAACCATGTCAACCTATTTTTTTAACCAAGGTTCAAATTTCTAGAAAGTTTATCATAGGAAAATAAAAAAAAACCAAAACTACTTTTACAAATAAAATAATAATAAAATGCAAGGCACTTTGGTTTATTTTTGCGGCTGCATAGGTAGATATGCTGGATTAAGGGTGTAGATGTATATATATGGTTGTGTCTGATAAATATTGCTATCATAACTCCTCCTTTTTCCTATTAATATTTTTTGAAGAGTATTACAAAGAATTCCAAGATAGATGACACTGTAATAGTTCTTCCTTCTATGTCATTTAACTGCTTCCTTATAGATAATATAATAGTAGTTTCCATCCCTTAGACTGTAGTTCAATGCTATATTAATACATTTAATCAGGGGGAATCAAACTTTTTTGAGCATAGAGTCCCATTTGGTTTTGCAGACTGGCAATCACTTTCCAAAAACAATCAGTCTTAGAACAAACTAATATTTAATTCAAAGTAATCAGTAATTGAATATGATTATTCCCCTGTAGGTAATATTTTTCTCCTACATTCACTTAAAAAATTATAATTTAATAGTTTTAGAAAGCTGTGAGGGGGCAATCCAAGGTATCCAGATATTGTTCCAGATAATTTAGAAACAGGCAAAAGAATTGTTCCTTTTCATTCAGGAAATGAAAAGAAATTCCTTAAGCACTATGCTTGCATTTCTTGCTTGGTCATTTAATTCTAAAAAATAAGGCACACAATTTTCTTTTTCTGTACCTCATGAAAGCATATCTATAATTCCTGTCAAACATACCTAAGTTGTGCCTGTGGGAGCAATTTTTAATGAATTATTTTTTTATTTTCTATTATTTTTATTATTATTATTACAATACTGAGATAATAATTTACCTGCAGGAAGCTGGACTCATATTTACTTGTCCTTCTTGCTTATCTCGGTAGTGAAATGTTTAGTATAAACAAGTTGTCTAGTTCCAGATCTCAGACATAGAATTTATCTAATTTCCAGAGCAGATTGTATGTAGATGATAAAATAGCTAGATTGTTGCCTACATAGGTTTAATTTGTAGACCTGCAGTCCATTTCTCATGTGGCTACATAAGGAACAAACTGATTTAGTATGTGTGGATATCATTGCCCATGGTTATATATTTCTCCATAAGGTAGAGACTAATCCTGAGTCATTAGTCTGAAAATAGCTCAGACATTCCAGATCATAATAATAATTGGCAAAAACAAGACAGCCTATTGTGAGACTTCAGAACAAGTGATTAAAAATTTATTCACAGAATACAGAGTAATTTCGGCCAAAGAAAGAAAATTGTTTAAGTTGGCGGCAGGTATAGTTTTACATATGATGAGTAGTTTGATATAAAGAACGTTACTTAGCATATTGGGAATTCTAAAATGTTAATTTTGTAAAAGAACTTTAAAAGATACTTGTTAAACATATGTTATGCTGTTAAGGTTTGCTTTAATGAAAAAACATGGACATAAAAATACATACAAAATCTTAATAGAATGGGTTCTGTCAATTGTACTTTAACATCTTACTTGACATCAGTACCTCCTGCCCTAATCTTCCTGATTATGCAACTTTACATGTAGTCATTTCTGGATTTCTATTATTATGTTTGATTATCAAAAATTCTAATTCTTGACTTGTAATTCCCTGTCACAAGGCCCTCCATCATACTGTGGAATACTGTGGCTGTAAAAACTCAAAGGTGTATCAGGTGATACATGTAAATATGGAAATAATCAACTAATTTGTCCAGAACATCATTCAGTAAATATAATCCTAGCTGATATTTCTTCTTGCTGTTTCTAATTTATCTTTCCAGATTTTTAGTTTAAGAAGAACTGAAACATCACGGTTTTGGAAGTATGCTACTAACTTTTTTCGAGCACTCTCTGTGCTAATGATTCCCATTGCTTCAAATGTTCCATCAGTAAGTACAGTTTGGTAGTACAGTATATTATATATTAGCTGCAAAAGATCTTTCCTTCCAACACTGAACTGGATGTTCAATGTTGGGAACATTTGAGAATTGTATTATTAAGAATAGTTTTTCCTTTGCAAAACCAGCAGTTTGATTCCCACTGGCTCAAGGTTGACTCAGCCTTCCATCCTTCCGAGGTCGGTAAAATGAGGACCCAGATTCTTGCGATCAATATACTGATTCTGTAAACTGCTTAGCGGGCTGTAAAGCACTATGAAGTAGTATATAAGTCTAAGTGCTATTGCTATTTTAGATTGGTATTGCTAGCTTATACATACTTATAGTGCTGTTTTCTACATTGGGTGATGGCTAAGTGGGGATTTGAATTCAAATCTTCCTCTCATCAAATCAAATTTTCTATCTACTAAACTCATTGTGTCCAACTAGTTTTATATGTGTCACAAACAGAATTTGAAAATCACCTACAGATCACATTATTGATATTCTTTCGCTGTATAAATGACCTACTTGGAAGAATGTCTTTTTGAGTCAATCAAGATAGGGCTAAAGTTTATATATTGATGATAAACTGTTGTGAATTATGCTACATAGCAACTGAAAAAAACAATCTGACGTATTAAAATCAGTAATTTCAAAGGCATAAATAATGGTTTATGAAGCTCAGTTTTTAAGATGGCTTCCTATGGAAATTGCTAGACATTTCAGCCAGACATTCAGAATAGGATCTCATGGAACCATGGTTATTCACTATTCTTCATCCTAATATATGATACATTATAAAAATAAAATTAGAGGATTATGCCTTCTTTATCATTCAGAATTCCTAGGAAGAAAATGGGATAACACGTTAGTCAAGGTTTTTTTTCATTTATGGATATTCTTAATGAGAGATAATGTGACTACTTGGCAATAGTACTACTTTTATTCACTTTGTTAAAATCAGTATGTTCTTTTTCCTTTTATTTCAGATACTAGCTTTGTACTGGGTATCTTCTAGCTTCATAGGCCTTTCACATAGCCTTCTGCTGCGCTCTCCTGCTTTCTGTAAATTATGCCATCTCCCTCGGACCAAGTTTGATTCAGATACTCCATACAAAGACATTGTAGCTGCTTTGTACACGAAATATTTCCTTAAGTGAAATAATATCTGTAATTGAACCAAATGATTTTTTTTACTATAATTAACTTGTATTAGAAAGCTACCTTTATTAGAGAAATTGTATGTACCCTTCAGACAATTTGTCAGCAAGTAGGAGACAACAGTCTTAAAAAATATTAGCTTTCAATTCAGTGATTGTTTTTAATTTATATGGAATTTCTTAAATATTGCAGCTTTTTTTAAAAAAACATTGTCCTTCTAGGTGATGTAATTGTTTTAATATTGTTTCTTAATTATTTTGGCAGCTTAAAATACAAGCATTTTTCAATATGCATATAATGTTCATAAAATCATAAACTGATTTTCAGATATTTAAGAAATGACTTAGGAGAGAGAAAAAACTTGCATCCTATCTTTTGTGTCACATCCTAACCACGACAGATACTGATGTGTACATTCACGCATAGGGAAATATCCAGTTGCCAAACAGAAAAGAACTTTGGGGGTGGAAGTTAACAGTAAAAGTATCTCCCATTCAGAGGATTTAATTGCAGTTGACCACATTTCTGTGCAAACATCTAGAAAACAAGTTTTTTTCATCCATATTAGTCTAGATGAAGCGGTTAAATATATATTAATTATACTTTTATAATGCCTTATAATACATTATTGTATTTAAGAAACATTTACTGAAATATTTTAGCAGTAGGGAAGACATTACATAAGGGATGGTATCTAAATTTAAAGACAAATCTTAAACAGCCTTGTTTTCTAGCAATGCCCATAACTGACTTGTGACAATTGCTCAGTGTCTCCACTTACAAAAAGTACTGGCTCTGCAGTTTTAGAAGCATCTCTTTTAAGTATATATTGCTTTAATTGTTCATATACCAATTACAATTTATCTAGAAGAATCTAATGGAACTTTCATAATAGTAACAATGACAGCATATTTCTAATCATGTGGGATATATTTTTAAATTTTAAGGAAAAGAAATGTTTAACAACCTGTAACCATTCTCTTCAGTCTGCATTGAACAGAAAAACTAAAGCCATCATTTGGCTTCATAGCTCTGTATAAAAAAGGGAAAATAAGTTAGCCCAATAATTTAAAAACTCAATTGTTGAATTGGAATTTTGAAAATGGCATTAGATACATTTAATTCACAAAAAGTAGTACCCCAAATACCTATTGTGGTAAGCAGGTTTTTCCATCCTTTTTTGGCATGTGTGGAATTTAATGCGTCTTGGATGTGTTTTTGATTTTCATGTTAAACCTACACATACTGTATATTTAAGTAGACAAAATATAACTTCTATATAGTGTTAAGCACTTTACAGTGACTTGATCAGACTCATGATCAGTTGAGCACAGTGAATTAACAATTACAGCACAGTGTGGCTAGCAGCAAAGTTTCTATCCATGGAGTATAATAAAGCAATAGGATCTTACATGACAAGATGCTTCACAATAAATAGGTTTCCCCAAATGAATGAGCTAGGATTGTTGCAAACTATTCAGCATCACAGATACAGCATCAACCAAGCTTTCACTGTACCATAAGTAATCTAACTTCTGCAGATGGATGAAAATACTGATGTGGCTAAGTTTGAGAAAGTTGATTTATATGGTGGTGTTTAAAAGTTTGAATCCTTTTGAATGTTCAATATTTCTGCATAGATATGATCTGAAACATGACTTGTTCTACACACAAGTCCTAAAAACTAAGTATATTTGTTCACTATTTTTTAATTGAAACTTTTGCCTTGATTACTATTTTATGTATATAATTTACCTTCATAGTATAAAATGCCAAAATGTCATTCGCGTTCAGTGGCAGTGTCTTCTAATTTTAATACAAAAAGCTAAAAGTCTGCAAATGTGTTTGTTAAACATATCTTATTAGCCAGGTTACAAAACTTTCCATAGTAAAAGTTTTGCTATGTCTTCAGTAATAGTCTCCTGCCTATAATCCATTGCAATGGGTATTAACTTCTGTCTTTGCTTATACAGTCTCCATCTATTTGGAACCTTATTTATTTTATTTATATGTTTATAATCCCACCTTATATTGATTTTATAAGTAACAGTGGTATTAATAAAATTGTTTGGTACCCATTTCACCATGAAGTGAACATAGTACTCCTTCCTCCTGTTTTTCTCACAACCGTGAGATGGGTTCGGCCGAGAGCAATTCGCCCAATGTCACCAGCCAGCTTTCATGCCTAAGGAGAGACTAGTTTCTCCTAGTTCCTAATTTGGTGCTTTAACCATTAAACTAACTGGCTCTCTAATGTATACTTGTTTCCAACCACTCCAGCAGACAGTCTTCCCAAGATCTCTCAAACTCTCTGTGTGAGGCTTGAAAGATGTCTTTTAAGTAAATGTGCTGTCTTTGGCGAATAAGATTTACCACTATTCACTACTGAATTGTCATTATTATCACAAACAATTGAATAAAACACTGCCTACTAAAATCAACAAACTTGAATTAGCTGTCCTTGTATATATCACTGAACTGCAGCCAGTGAATTTTGTTATGGATTGGTCTTGATTTTTGCAAGAATGAGGGCAACAGAGCTAGTTATTTGAAAATTTAAATGTTAACATATTAATATTACATTGCTTTGGTGATATCCTTGTAAATTTTACTTGGTTGCCAGAGATTGATGCAGTTGTGAAATTCTCACTTTGATACAATGCAGCACAAAAACTAATCTGGAATGTCTGTTAAGTTTCTTCACAAAACTCCCCTTTTTTATCTTTCATCAAAGTTACTGATTGTATCTTCAGCATTTCAACATCATAAGAGCAACTTCAGCAATTTTATATTGGGAGCTGGGATGTGGAGCATGGTGCATTTAAGGGTAAACAAGTGCTCATCATTCTTTGAAATTAATATTACCAATTTTAATTTTATACAGAGTTATGTGTATCTTATGACTTGCTATACTCCCTTTAAAAACAATTCAGATACACTGCCCTGCTACAATAATGGAGGACTATGAAATTTCAGTAGTTAGTACAACAGGACGAAGCTTTGATTTCTTGGAATATCAATGCTAGAGCTATTCTTTCCACAATACTCAGTGATTAATTGAAGTGAGTGTTGTATGTAGCCTTGGATCCAGAAAGCTTATTAGAAAGCTTTGAATTTGAGTGTCTTTCTCCCCCGTTTGACCCTTCTAGTTACTGAGTGAGCTTACCGACAACATTACTTGATCAAGCCATAGCTCAAATATGTAACTCAGTGTTCTGGCAATGCCTAACTCAGGAAGTGACTATGACTTCACTCAATGGCTTTATATACATGTTAAGCAGAACAGGCAAGAGTCCAGAGCAGGGGTGTCAAGCTCAAGGCCCGCGGGTTGAATCCAGCCCACAGGGTGCTTAGATCTGGCCCACAGCGAAGGACTGGCCTGCAGTGCCTCCATCAGTGAAAACAGCTCAGGAGGGGCTGCCCATTTTTGCTGCCACAGGTGCCTCCAAATGAGTGATGTCAAGCTGGCCATGCGCACCCCGACTCCTCAAGGTCAAACAACCCTGATGAGTGCGCCTCAATGAAATTGAGTTTGACACCCCTGGTCTAGAGCAGTGGTGGTTAAACTTTTTGGGCTCCTGTGCCAAAAATTGTGTGTGTGCACTTGTACGCACTTGTCTGCCAGCACCCAGAAGGCAATGCGTGCCCCCTACACCCCCTACACATGCATGCACAATCCCCACTCACCCACCTATCCGCCACCCCCTTACCTGCACTACGCCTCACAGTTGATTTTTGGCTGATTTGAGGCCTTTTTCGCCCTCCCAAAGGCTTGAGGAAGGCTTTTGCAGGCTGAAAACTAGCCCCGTTTCATCACTTCCAGTAGTTTTGGAAAAACAGGAAGTGACGAAACTCGGCTAGTTTTCAGCCTGCAGAAGCCTTCCTCAAGCCTTTGGGAGGCCAAAAAAGGCCTCAAACCAGCCAAAAATCAGCTGTGAGGCACACGCATGCCCAGTGAAGCAAGTTTACTTGCAGCTCGCATGCCGGCACAAATGGTTCTGCGTGCCACCTGTGGCACGCATGCCATAAGTATGCCATCATGTGTCGAGCTTGGTGGCACTCCATATCGGGAGTGCCAGATTCAATTTCTCATCTCTCCAATATCAATTGGAATTGACAATGGAAAAGGAAAGAAACACCTAAGTGCAGCATCTCCCAAATCTAATCCCTACAGGCAGGCAGTAGAATATCATGGGCAGGCAGTAGAATATCATGGCTGATACTTATCTAAAACCACTAAGACAGAGCCAACAAAATCCTGGCTCCTCCATGGTTTAACCAAAAGCATGACCAATGCTATCTTAGTCCTATGACCTGGCCTGACACCTGTTTGAAAGGGGTTATCAGAATCCAGAACCTTTGCATCTGTAACCGAACCACTTTGTGATGACCCGTAGTCTCTCAAAATAACCCAAATCATATATTAAAGTCTGGTAAGGCCTTCAACTTAACTTCACTGTTTTATTAGGCACAGTTTAAAGTCACAAAAGTAAATAATGAGGCTAACAGAAAATCAAAACGAACCGCATTGATGAGAGTTCTGAAGCAAGCTGAAATAACTAAACTCCAGGCAAATAACCGAGAAAAGTCCATGGGAAGAATGCCAACAAAGATAAACCTCTTTCAAGGTAAACACTAAACATTGACTCCAGCAATTCTGACTACACAGTTACAAACTTATATACATAGCTCCCAGCTGCAAGCCACGAGGAGGATCATGGTAATCTCTTGAGTAGACCTCGCTTTTCCCTGATCCTCTCCTTCCTGTGTGACCTAGGATGGATAGGGGATGGGCCTGGATCCTCCTCTGACTGCTCAGCCGGCCTCTGCCCTTCCCCAACCTCCTCCACCTCTGGAGCCACACTCCTACTCCCTGTTGGCTGTTCCTCCTCTTCCTCAGAGTCAGACTCCACCAGGGGCATGACACACCTTCTCAATAAGAGGAGACAGAGAAAAAGTTGTCAAGTGAGTGCAGTGATGGCTTCTTGAGGAGGGGCAAATCATCCCCTCCCTTAAAGAAGGTGACATGACAAATAATTATCCACCATCTCCTGGGAATGGCACGAATCCCATTAACAAGCCACAAGGGGCATGAATCCAATAAGCAAGGGATCAGATTACCGATCCTGAAGATTTTGCCCACTTACTTTGGAATAGTAGGCACAAAATGTTTTTATTAATTTATTTTTATCTGCTAAAATAAAAACAATGAAATGAAAAACAACTGTAGACTTTAAAAATATATTAAAAATGCAGGAAAATTACCTTTTTGCATTGGGTGCATTAAAAGAATGAAGAACTGAGGATGATCTACCACTTCCATATCTGTGATTTTCTAATAATATCAAGCTAGAGTAGGACATTTTTTTAGAAAATCAACCAGAAAGATATTCAAACATACAGTCACATGGCTGCCACTGCAGTACTTTATTTAAATGCTACAACATGAAGTATCAAGTCATGTTTTTGATCAGGCAATGCATGAAGAAATAAAGTAAGACTCAATTATGTGGTTTATTCTTGCTACATTTATCGTTCATTCAAGAAGATTCTAATTTAACCGTGTGTAGTTACAGCATCTACATCACCATGCAAGGATTAACAATTCTCAGCTCTTAATAAGAATTGAACCCCAAATCATGTCCATAAATAATTGTTAAAATAGACTGGAATCTTTTGCTACTAGGAATAAATAATGGAGTACTGAATTTACACATTAAATTTTGGACTAATAAATGCATTATTCTTATTGGCTTAAACTTTGTGGCAAGACT